AAACATTTTATACGCTGTTGATATGCTCCGAAACATTTCATACGCCATTGATATGCTCCAAAATAGCTTCATATGTCATTGATATATTTTGAAACATTTCATACGCCATTGATATGCTCCGAAATATTTCATTTGCCATTGATATACTCTGAAATGTTTCATATGCCATTGATATGCTCCGAAACATTTCATATGTCATTGATATGCTCCAAAATGCTTCATATGTCATTGATATATTCTGAAACATTTCATATGCTATTGATATACTCCGAAATATTTCATCCGCTATTGATATGCTCCGAAACATTTCATACGCTATTGATATGCTCCAAAATGCTTCATATGCCATTGATATATTCCGAAACATTTCATACGCTATTGATATACTCCTAAATGTTTCATCTGCCATTGATATGCTCCAAAATGTTTCATAAGCCATTAATATATTCTTAAACATTTCATACGCCATTTATATGCTCCGAAATGTTTCATCTGCTATTGATATGCTTCGAAATATTTCATATACCATTGATATGCTCTGAAACATTTCTTATGCCATTGATATACTCCAAAATTGTTCATATGTCATTGATATGTTCCGAAACATTTCATACGCCATTGATATGCTCTGAAATGTTTCATCCGCCATTGATATGCTCCGAAATATTTCATCCGTTGTTGATATGCTCCGAAATATTTTATCCGCCATTGATATGCTCCGAAATGTTTCATATGCAATTGATATACTCCAAGATACTTCATATGTCATTGATATATTCTGAAATATTTTTTATTCCATTGATATATTCCAAAATATTTCATTCACCATTGATATGTTTTGAAATGTTTCATATGTTATTCACATATTCCGAAATATTTCATACGCCATTGATATGCTCCAAAACACTCCTTACATCATTGATATGCTCCAATTAGTCTTTACTTCCTTGTTATAAATAAAACATGCTTCGAATAAAATGATATTATAATTCTACATTTGTTGAGTTACTATCTATGAACTTTTGTATCCTTGCCTTATATTTGGTACTTTATTTGTTTGAAATTATCCTCTTTCACCGTGGATATGTTTGTCGCTTGCTGAGCTCTATATGCTCACTCCATTGCTATATAAATTTTTCATGATAGTTTGTCGCTCGCTAAAATGTTTAAATTAGTTTGAGGTTTTGGAAAGCTAGAAGATTTTGGGACAAACCTTTAGTGGATGATATATTTTTGTTGTAAAAGTATACTTGGTGTCTAATGGAATATTTATGGTAAACCTAAACTTATAAGTTTTGTAAAAGTTTAAAGAACCTCTCACTTAGATTTTGGAGTGTTAAGTTAATTTGTGTAATGATATGAACATGTAGTAAATATTGGTTTTTGTGATTATATAGAATATCACACTTGTGGATTTATGAGCTGGTTATTGTCTTGATGAGTTGGCTTCAGATTTTATGATTCATCGAGTGATGTGGTATATGATTTTAAACTGCACAAATTTTATGAATTGTGGAATTATAGATGTGAATGACTTGAATGTTTTCTTAGAATCTTCAAATGTGTGTTTGGATCTTGGAATGGATTATTATTGAATTATAATATTATCAATTTAAGATAGACTCATGCTCCTAAACGTTATAATTCGAGGGGGGCATGACACAACTAACCTTACGAGGATAATTTAGTATCGATCGAGGATCATTTGCTCTCAGTGTTATGAGAAGAATATCTCATATGTTCTTGCTTAAGCAAATCCCTAGCTAAAGTCATTCGGATTGAGAGACAACAATCTTAATCTAGAGTGTTACACAATGTATATTTATAGGAATAAACCTTAATTTACTAAAGAGTTTTAATTAATTGGGACTATACTAACTAATTTAAATATGATTAGGATACCTAAAAATACTTACCAACTTTAACATTCTCCACCTTGACAAGTATTTTTTACTTTCTGCCTCATATAGAAATTAGATCATTAGCTTGAAGAATTTACTACAACTATATAAACTGAATCAATTCATGATTTATCACTCCAAGAAACTTGCTAATGTATTATATGTATTGCAACCAAATTAGTGGCACTACTTATTTTTGGAGAGAGACCTCCATCTCACCATCTTACTATTAGTAGAATTTTTTTCCTTATAACCATTTGTATCCTAGAAACTATGAATATCACCCTTTGTTTTCTGCACCGTAAATGAAGCTCGCTACCATAAGCACCTACCAACCCCTACACATGCATCATGTTTCTAGTCATTTGAAGTTTGTATCGTACTCCCTTCTAGATGGTATAACCTTTGATATAATCTTCCTTTCATTATCATCATGTAATCCTAAGTAACTTTTAGAACTTCACATTTTACCTAGTAGTCATTTTACCTAAGACTCAATAAAATTATATTTTTTTACATCTTTAAAACATAAGTCATATCATTCAGAGTATGCACTGCCTTATCAATTATTTTAATCTTCACTTTACTGACACCCATGAATCAAAATAATCCTTAAACATGAGTAACACAAATAAAATCTAAAAGGTAACTCTTATAGAAAGATACATCATGACATCTCCATCACCATTTATCACAAAGAGCACTCATCGGCCTCTTCTTCCCATTTCTTATTTCCTAAACAGTTCTATTTGTACTCTTGCATATATAATATTAAATATCATCCAAAGATCTAACTCTTGATTTCAACTATCACATTAAGATCTACCCATATCAGAAAATCCTCCTTGTTGACTCCACCCTGACTAGCTAATGTCTCACTATTCATATTCACAAATTATCATTTTTCTTAGTAACACGAGATACTAAAGCTTCTTCAATTTATTTCAGATTTACTATATCGTTCCCACGTAGTATTATTTTCACAAAGTTATCATAGGAGTCAACATCGATGTAAGAAGCAACATTGTTTTATCTTCTTTATCAATCTTCATATCAACTTTCTTCAATTAATTTAGTATTCCTTTGAATATATTTAGATGCTCTACCAAGTCTTTGCCTTCCTCTATCGGTAGCTTATATAACTTTCACTTCAAATACAACTTATTAATTAATCTTTTTACCAGATAAAACTTTTTTAACTTATCCCAAATAATCATGATAGAGTCATCATCAATAATATTATTAATGATACAGAGATAAATAGTACTCATACATTTTTCCTCAAGCTTACTTTTTTTTTTTGGTTTGTTTGCTTGTCTCTTCGATATTCTTTCACCCTCCTCTATTATAGAATGAAATTATTTCTTCAATCAAATTTTTCCATAATAAAAATAATAAAAATAATTGATTACATCTTTATTGAATCTCTAATCATCACGTCCTTTCGGCTTTGATACCACTTTATTAGAGAATGAGAGAAGAATTTCAAAATAAAAAAAATATACTAAAATCAAAAATCAAAAGAACATACTAGAAAGTTGTAAGATTAATGTGATTTGATAAATCCTTTCTATATTAATAAAGAAAATCAAATTCATCCGATCAATTAAAAGATTCTGAAGTTATTCTCCCTCATGTACAACTTCCCTTGTTTATCTGTCACATAAGCTTGAAAACACTTAACCCTTTTTTAAAACATTTTCCTCTCACCAAAACCCTAACACTTTATATATATATATATATATATATATATATATATATATATATATATATATATATATAGGAATAAACCCCAATTTACTAAAAAAAAAAATATAATTAAAATTCTATCAATTAATTAAAATATAATTAAAACTTGGAAACATTCTTAACCGGTTACATGACCATCTTTATAACTGTGACGACACGTAATACATGAACGGATGCATTAATATGTTTACGTTGATAAAGACATCCGACTTAGCGACTTTATGAGATGCATAATTATGACAACGACACAAATCCTGAAATTATACTTTGTGATGCTCAATATTAACTTACCAATGTACTTGTGATGTACTTTTTACGTCAGCATCAGTGTCTATAGCTGCAGATGGATAGATATATCACACTGTTTTCGATCAACAGAGACTTTCTTTTCTTTTTTTCTTTGTTCTTTTTTTTATTGGTCATGTCAGATCCTAAAAACATTTTATTTTATTTTTTTGCTTTTTTGTTTATCGTACAGTCATTTCAATGGATGGGGACACTTTTACCATTCACCATAAACAGTCAAAGAGTACTAACACAGTAAAAAGGGCCAAAAACCATGTGGTTTTATGAAGGGTGGGAAATGTTGGCTTGAGAGTGGGGCTTAGGCCACCACCGCAGGAAGTGTGGAGCTTTGAGAGAGAGAGAGAGAGAGAGAGAGAGGAGGTAGGGG